AAGGCCGTCCTTCCACAGGAGCAAGCCATCAAGAGATCAGACAGAAAGAAACATTCAAAAGAAATCGATCTCCGTGCTCATGTCGTGTGTCACAACCCTCATGGAGCTAACAGGGAACATGGCTTACATGTTGCATGTTGCATGATGCCTGGAAAAACATGCCGATGATGGCCATCATGGCAAGTCTGCCGTTCGCCAGCTCGGCGCTCCTGAATTTGCGGGTCTGTTCGTCTGTTCGTCAGTGTCTATCAGGAGTATAAGCGGATAATTTTGGAAATAATTCAGGCTTGTACTGGGAACCTCCCATTCAACTCCTTGTTGGGAAGTTTTCCATAGTGCCTTATTTGGGGCATTCCCCTGACTATCTGTCCTCAAGGGGTATCCCCGCCAAAAATACTCCAATGTACCCTATGCAACACTTGCGAGCGCTCTTCAGGACGCTGGTATCTAGATTTCCTAGACTTACTTGGGGTTCGTAGGGAATAAGGGAATTCATTGCGTATAGGGATTTATAGAAGGATTTTACTCGCTTATTACCCACGAACCACAATAACTAGAATCTTGCTCGCTGTGGAATGTGGTGGAATACCCTAACTTTAAACCCTAAATAGTAGTTTCCACTTATTTTTCCATTATCCCAATACAACTCCCTATAATATCTCCCTATACATCCCTATATACACCTCTAAAGGGACCCCTGTATAACCCTATATCATACCCTAACATGATACTTTTCTGGAAAACCGGGCCTGGAGCTAAAAACTCGTGCTGCAAGCAAAACGTCTTCTCGTCAGAAACTCTCATCAGGGTTATATCATGGTTGTATTGGGGCTATATTAGGGTTATATTAAGGTTATATTAGGGTTATATTGGGGTTATATTAGGGCTATATTAGGATTATATTAGGGTTATGTGAGGGTATATTAAGGTTATATTAAGGTCATATGGGGTTCTTTTGGGGTTATATCAATGTTATATTGGGGTTCTATTGGGGTTATATGGGGGGTTATATTAGGGTTGTATTGGGATTCTATTGGGGTTATATTAGGGCTATATCAACCACCCCGCAATGTGCCTCTTTCTCTGGAGTCTGTAAAAAGGTCTGGATACCGCTGTAATTTAAGTGGCGTTTCTTTGGTGGTCAAACCCAGTAAGATCTTATTCTTGATTTAAATTGCTACTCCCCACAGGAGGATATACCCTGTATAAACCCTTTCAGCTTTCCAGGGATAGCAAGGATACCACTTGAGGTTTTGAGGCACGCGTTGGGTACAACCTCAAAGCACCGCCCCCAAGCCCAACATAAGCCTTTAGCAATACATTGTCACGTCAGTCCGGCCGAGATTCAGCTTCTTGGTCTTCTCAGCAGGGTCGCTTGAGGTCAGGACCTTCCAGCCGAAGTCACCGGCGTAGGCCGCGGTGCCGGGCTCCTGCGTCTGGGAGGCCTGCCGCAGATCAGAAAATGGATCGCCACGACCATCAGTGGTGTACTGCCACAAGGCTATGATAAGCTTGTAACTATGTCTGTGGGTGCTAGAAGACCCTGCATGCTTCAGAAGTAGAGGCCTTCGACAGCGTCATGGAAATGGGGTTGCGCTTGCCACGAGTTGAATGTTAGTATTTGTAAGCCCGTGCAAACTGACAGAAGTCGTGATGGCGCCTGCGCAGACTTATTGTCAATCCCAAAGACTCCATGTAGCTCTAAAGTATATAACTGGGGCACTATGAAGTAATTAAGTATATACTACATATACCTACATGGACCCTTTGGGAATGAGGTATGGAACCCTGAATGAATCTACGGTGAGCATCAGAATTAGGCCCAGCCCGCAGGCGTGGCGAAACTCCTCAGTCATTAAGCAGTCCACACCAAACTTTATTCCCTGTTAAGTAGATAGAATATGGAGTATGTAGGGATCTTATTATAAGATACCCAAAGCCATTTTCTATCTACTTAAGGGGGAATGTATACCCGCAAGCTTTGGCCAACCGATCCTCTTGATGTGGGTAGCGGTTAAGTAAGATTAGATGTTTGTTGTACAGATTAGAAGGGCTACTCATGTTGGGGACAAGGATATTTCTATATGTGAGATACTGCGACACTGCCCAACTTATTCGCAATTAAGATCTTAACCCTGCCTCGCAGTAGGCCATGTACAGGAGGATCTGGCCCCATCCTGCCTGAGGAACCTGGCAATTTCTGGTTGATCAGCGTCCTTGTCAACTTTAGAAGCTAAAAAGTAAGAAAAAGTGAAATCAATTTGTCTACAAACCACCGCTCGGGGCGAGGTTGGATGAGATGGTTGTAGTTTGCCCGGCAAAGCGGAGCGGCAGTTTCGGCTTCGACATATTTTTCTGGAGGCGGCGCCACGACGTTGCGGATGGGTTTTTCTAGGCAGGGTTCCTATGCGTAACACGGGCGTCGCCAGGGCTAGGTATGAGGTCTTTCCAGACTTGTGCATGGCTTCCTTCTTGCTGTATTTTTTGCGGGGTATTCGGCCCTAGACGGATTTGGAGGAAGAGATTCTACGAGTGCCTCCTCAGGACTACTCCAAGATTATTTTGAGCAACTCTAGGTGCCATGTCAGTGGCGAGGTATAGTGGCGTGGACCTCTACGAAGCATTGATCCGACATTTTCATGCCAGACCCTCTGGCCCCAAAATGCTTGCAGTGGCCTCTAAAAACCCTAAACAAAAGATCGTTGCCCTGAACTTGTCTTGTGTCTGCCTTGGAGATCGCAGCCAGGCCGTTGGGGATGTCGGCGAATTTCAATCCGGCGGATGGGGACAAATAGCCCGGAAACTTGCCGGTGATCCTTGAAAAAATACTGACTGCATTTTCTGCCAGTGTTGCAGGTTGTAATCATTAATCCGAAACGTTCAAGGTTTCAAGCGTACGATGCTTGCGGGGTTGCCTTTTGATAATGGTAAAACGTTCATATCGGCACCTACGTATGGGACTTGGCCTAGACTACGGTTCCCAAAATGTGGGAAATTCACATGGGGACCCGTGTTGGAACAGGAAATCCAGCATAGGGACCCGTCTTATACTGATTTTAACGAAGCCCCTATGACAGCTATAGTCTAAACTCCTAATGGCCCTCTTCATGCCCCCTATGGTAGTCTCCTATAGAATGCCCTATATAACCCCCTTGAAGGAGTTTAGACTATAGCTCATGTAGCTAGTCAACTCTTGGCCAATGTTTTGCGCAAGGCAGACCTTTCCCCCAACTCCGTGCCGGCTGCAACTCTATTGAGGGACCTCTTAGGGACTAACCCAGACCCCTGATTAATAAACCCGCTCCCCTTAATAGGGACTACAACGGTGAAGAGGTCAGTTCTTGAGTTTGCCAAGGTATGGTCAGAGGATGGCATGGAGGAGGTAATCTTGCTGCAGACGGGCTGCTCTGGCGTTATGTAGCCCATGGTCGCAAGCATGGCCTGAAACAACTGCGCGACAGTGGAGGTAGAGGTTTTAGAAAAGGCAAAATAAAAAGGTTCCAAGGACGCGAGCTACCGTGGAGCCTGATTTCTACAGGGCTTGTGGTGCGGGGTGTGGGAATCCTTACACGCAGAAGAACTGGCCCTCAACAACAAGTCATATTACATCCAATTTGAAACTGTTTGCTCTGGGGCGCAACAGTTGACAGCTAGTCAACAACACCTTGACTGAACATTTGGCTAGGGCTCTAACATGCGCGTGCGGTGACACTGCACAGGCGACAGAAACCATGAAGACTAATTTGCACGGATTTGGGCTAAGTTGCATTGCAACACATTCGCTCGCTGGACACCCGTGATCATCCAAGTATCTCTGCCATCCTCCAAGCCTGAAACCCACAACTTCCACCTGTGAGGCCTGCAAACCCTCACAGCCTCAGCCTGCGAGCCCGAGAGCCCGAAACAACTGAACCCGTGGATCCCGCCGAGGGGCAATGCGTCCGTGCTTCAGCTCTGTTGCGCGGCGGCGCTTGAAGTTGTCGACGCTGCCATCAGCACCTTGGTTGAAGGATGTGAAGGGGCCCTTTGCGCTTGGCGCCTCGTGGTTTGCAGCATCGACGTTTGACACACCTCGTCCCCTTATGGTGGTAGACCTGACAAACTGCCTCATTCTCAACCCACGTTGAGGTTGACGTTCAAGTTTATCAAGTCCCAAACGATTCCGCGCTTGCCATTCCCTCATAGACAGATTTGGTCTTGAACGCTCAAAATGTTGATAACGTGCCTGAGACCTGCCTGAGCCTGCTGGTTGCTCAACAATGCAGCGCAGTGATTGAACGTGAGGGCCCAACCCCCCCAATTGGCCGGCTCCGTATTTTTTCTGGTTAAGCTTCTTTAAGCCAAAAACAGACCTGTGTAATACTTCTTGCGATGATCGGTGGTCCTATTTCGCGAATTAGGTGGCATAGGTAGTGGTAGTTCCAACTCCCATGACTGAAGCTCCTACTTGCCACAATGTATTTGAAGCTTGAATCCAGAAAAACTGCCATAACCCTGAACCCCAAAACCAAGCCCTGAACCTTGAAACCCAACTGCTGCTACAAGTGCCTGCCCCAAGTCAGCTCCAGCCAACAGAAGGCAACCCCAGCTAACACCCTGTGAGTTTAAACGAAAGTCGACAACACATTGAGAACTCAACCCCAAAAAAGTAAACACAGAGCCCACAAGGACGCTTCCATACGCATGCATGGATGTAGCAAAACATGCCAAACGCGGTGAGACTGAATGGAAAACAACACCAAAAAGCACGAATCCCTAGTGGCACAGCGATTGCGCAAGTTCCAATGAATGTGACTGATGCTGACTGATGCGCCAAAATATCTGTAAGCCCGAAACCCAGCAGTACACCCTCATCGTAGACGAACACTGCCATCAGACCCTACTGTGTGTGCATGCTGTGCGCAAGCTGCATGATCATGCGCGTCAAAGCATCCCGCCACTTCAGAAGCAAGGCCTAGAAGGATCGCAAGAGACACTGAAGGCGGACGAAAGAAAAGGGAACAATGACCACAGCGCGACAAAAAGGAACGAGGGGGATACGACTCGACAGGACGACGCGTTAGCCAGCCCGTCCGGTCGGTGCGAGCACCCGGGGTCTCCTGCAAGCAGGACCTCCGCCACGATGGGACCAGAAGCGGGAGGCAGATGGGGCGCGGTCTCCTGCGAGCAGGACCGCGATGCCCCGACCTTGCTGACATCAACAGGACGAGAGGTGAAAACAATCAGCACCAATTCTGAAAGAGGAACACGTAGGCGAGAAACCTATCTCCATCACTGCCCTTGCACTCCACCTACGTTTTCATACTGTAAGCCATTATCGCACCAGATCGCACCAGCATGCCTTGCGCATGAAGAGGGAACATAGTCTCTGAATGTCTTTGAAAACCTACACGCTCTTGCCTGTAGTTCTTGAAAGCATCTCTCTGGCATACTCCTGAGATACCTTGCAGTTTGTGTTTTTCGACAGATACCTGTTAACCTCCCATACCCATGCAAAGCAAAGTCGCTCAAACCAGCGGGGTCCCAGAAGCCAACAGGCGCCTTCCGTGTCATCGACACAAGGTTCCAGTACGATCATGCGTCCACGTCAGAAACAAGGGCTCACATGGTAGACAATGTTCTGGAAGTATTCTGGTGGCAATGATAACCCTCTCTGGAAATCAGCCCGAACAGCAATGCTGCTGGTGAACATGAAGCAATAAGTAGCTGTGGATTGCACTACTTGCAGCAATCACGGCATGATGGTTAGCAGCGCTAAGAAGATGATGATAATGGCCATGACCATGTTTATTACCAGGATGAAGCCGATGGTCATGTTTATGGTAGCAGGGATGGTGATGCTGATGGTGATGATGTTGTTGTTATTGATGATGATGAGTCATAATGGTCAGGCGTAGAAGAAAAGATGCAATCCTGAGATAACGAGTTGCTTCTTTGTCAGGGCCAGCCTGAACGCCAAGCTCGTTCTCAAATGCCTGCGAGCAATGCAACAGCAACATGGCTAAGAGCCCCATGAGGCACTGGGGGATAAAGGGTGGGGTCTTAGGACAATAGTTTCAAGTGAGCCATAATCTAAACTCCTAGTATCCCCCTTAATTAATAGCCCCTATAATAATCCCCTATATAACCCCCTTTCAGGAGTTTAGGCTATAGCTCAAGTATTGTGGGGTATGGTGTGCCAACTCACAGGGAATGATCACCTTGGGGACTGTAGAAAGCTTTACGCAAGGATCCAATGCAAGATCCACCGTGCAACTTCTTTGTGGCTGAAACTTTCTTGAACGCGCAGACTCAGAAATGGCTGTTTAGGGCTAGGAGTAGCAGGTTTGCATGCAGACTTGCATCATGGGCGACTCTGGGGCTTGAGATATGGATATCGCATCGAGATTCTGAGTCCGCGCAGCTCAATCCGAAAACTTACAACAACACTGCATTCCGGACACACTCTTGTGATCCGTTTTGTCACAAAAGTCCAGGAGTGCGCCAAGAAGAACAATTCAACGAACAATAACAAACATCATCCGGCCTTCCAAAAGGAGGCGGGATTGCCGGCCCAGTAGCCCCAAGGGGATCCGGTGATTCCGTCCTGGAAGAAGAGACCGATGATGCCCATCATGGCCAGGCGTCCGTTGGCAATCTCCGAGTTCAATTTTCTTTTCTTGATTTCCGGGTCGGTGGAAGTGATTACTTTCCAGCCGAAGTCGCCATCATAGGCAGCAGTGCCAGGGTCCTGCTTCTGGGAGATCTCGCAGAAGGCCATGTAGGCCAAAATCTGCGCCCAACCCGCCGCTGGCACCTTTCCTATGGCCGCAAGGCCGTTCGGGATGTCATCGAACTTCAGGTCCATGGATGGGGACAAGTAGCCCGGGAACTTGCCCGTGATCCTGGGAGAACATGCAACAATCTTGCTACCGACTGAGATGCCCTGAAACGTATGACACACAAATTGTGGGCTGCAACCCTCAAGAGTGTTGCGACATACTGCTTGCAGGGTGGGAAGGTGGGAAGAGAATCAGAGACAGTGCATGCGGCGCTCCGTCTGAAAATTGAAGCCTGGCTCTGCACCTGTTCCTGAGAGCTATTGCGGCAAAGTTGCTCTGGAGTCATGTAGCCCATGGTGGCGAGCATTGCCTCAGGTTTGCTGGGATCTCTGCCGGTGATGTCGCAGCAACTTGTGAATACCATGAAGACTGGAAAAGGCCAGCGCACAGTCCTTCTCATTGAAGGGCGTGAAATCTTGGAAGGTCATAGCAAGGACAGCGCTATCACGGCCAAGTGGCAATTCGGCCATGCTTCAGCTCGGTGGCGCGTCGGCGTTTGAACGCGTCCACGTCACCGTCGGCAGTAAAGCCGATGGGGTCCCAGAAACCGAAAGGGGCCTGCTGCACGTCCATGTCATTGATATTCAACGCGCATGTCGCTTTAACGAGCCTTCAACTACCAGATATTGTTCATCCTTGCATGGGGTCCTTTCATACTACCTGCTACGACTTGCTTACCTGCCAGCTCAGTTCATGCTCGGTCTCTGGCTTAGCAGAGCCTTTGGCGTTGAGCTTTGGAGGAGTCTTCTCTTACCACGATTAGTTTCAAGCAGATAGAGTTCAGCCTTGACATCTTGCTGTGCGTGCCAAGTTCCATAAAAAAATCACACAGGATCTGCAAAATTCTTTCCAAGGAAGTGGAGCTCGATGCGCTATCGGGACCATGACCAATTTGAATTCAACACAGAACATGATGTTGGAATGCCAGGCACGGGAGGTGCCAAAATAAACACTAAACTAAACTGTATTCTCTGAATTGCAGTTTCCATTTGATGGTCCATTTCTCTTTCCGGTTGAATCTCCATTCTAGGGGTACTATCCTAAACCCTAAGCCCCAAACCCTAAATAGTAGTTTCCATTTTCTTTTCCTATCCCTCAAATGACCCTGAATAATCTATAATCCCTAAACTCTAAACTCTTCTCAGGGTAGCAAGCCTGCCTGACAGTTTGACCCTGAGTGCACCAAGTCTTACTGGGCGCTTGTAGGGAATGAGGGAATATATTTATCCCTATGTAATATGTTCCCTAAACCCTTAGCCCTAAACCCCCTACTAACCGCCAGGAAGCCAAGTGCAAAAACCACAACAGGCTTGGACGCTCGTAAAGAAACGGGCTCCAAAGTGGCCAAAGCACCTGCAAATACCTGCTCTCCAAATACTACTACCACCCATTCCATAAATGTTGAAATCCAACGCTGCAGTCAGGTTTGATGACCATGTGGGATGATCCTGTGTGTTGCGCTGTAATCCGGAGCAAACACTCGTGCTCTAGAGTCGTCCTGCACGCCGAGCTCGTTCTCAAAGGCGCTAACGACCACCTCCCGCAAGGCCGCCCGGACTAATTAGGTTTACCATCATGAGTCCTAGAATCATGCCCTTACACTACGATATGATGCCCGCGTGGCAGAAGGACTCATGTACAAGGCTTGTGGCAGAAGGCGGGAGGGAAAAAAAAACGGCTCCTTTAGGCTTCCACAGTCTTCCTTATAAGCAAGCTACTGCTTCCATGTTGCCTTGATAATTCCTGAGCCCGAATCCACGCACCACGCTCGAAACAAACAAACCCTGGGGCCACTGAACCCCATTTAGCCCCTCAAGCCACCGAACCACATCCGACACCACTGATCCCAAGACTTTACGACAGACTTACTGGTTCTATAGTAAGGAATAAGGAAATATAGTCCACATTAAATATCATATCATATATATATATACATATACTGTATGTCCTTATTCCCTACTTTTAACAAGTAAGCATACCTTCTAACCTAAACACGCCTAAGCCCCATGTCTCGCCTGGGACTTGCGGCTCTGGCTCGCCTGGCAGAGCGACATGAGCACGTAATTCAGGGCTTCTGGGCCAGAAAATGAGATGAAATCCTGGTTTTTCAACTTATCTTACTGGTTGTTAGTAGGGAATAAAGGAATGTATATATATATATACAATAGGGATTATACAACTTATGAGTCATGAGCTTCGATATAACATGAACGCCAAGCCAAACTGCTTATGTTCTAACGCCTACACTTTATAAATACGGCCCATGGACCCAAATCAATGCCCAAACCCACAGACCTTGGACCCATGATGATCTGTCATGTCAGACAGAAACAAGCACCACAGCGTGACCTTCTCGACCGGCAGCCATTACGTCCAAGCTATCGTGGCTTCTCTAGCTTCTGGTTACGAAGTCTCCTTATCCCAGATTGCTGAAGTTGTGAGGCTTACGACTATACAAATATGATCTCTATGAGTATTGTTGTTACTACTACCATCACTATTCATGGCTTCAACTCAAGTGTGCTGGCTGCTTCGGCCTTGCCACGAAGCTGCGAGGCAAGAAGAGCCTCAGGTGCACAGACCCTCCTGCATAACTCATTAAGCAAGTCAATGTTAACTTGTCAATTCATCAAAATTCCCTCGATTTGCGAATGAGCCCGTCTGCCAATCAGAAACGGCTTGCGTCTTATGGTGGCTCTATGTAAGTCTTTAACTAAATGCTCCCTCTGGCACTCACACCCTAAGCTCTAAACCCTAAACCCGCATCAGGTCGGACGGATTTTCATGTTCGGCCAAAGTGCTATTGTTGCTATTCTATTACTACTAGAAAACACTATTATTCTTATTACTATTACTACCCTAAACCCTAAACCCTAAACCGTGTTATTATTACTATTATTGTTACTCTGAATAGGGGTTAGCAAAAGTCCGCAATTCCGAAGCTGGTGGCCAGGTTGTAAAGGCTTGAACCTTCAAACAGCAGGAAACCCTAAACCCCAAACCCTTAGAAATATACCCTAAACCCTAACCCTAAACCGCAAGTAGATAAATTATGGATATATGGGGATCTTATTACAATATACCCAAAGCCATATTCTATCTGCTTAAGGGGGACTGTAACCCTTGAAGCCTACACGAACCGTAACCCTGCAAACCCCCCACGCCCTAAATCCTAAACCTTAAAGCTGAAATTCACATGGACCAAAAGCCCAGCGGCTGATGCGGTAGCAGCTGCCGAGTAGCCAACAAAGCTTGCGGAACTGCTTCCTCGAACCCCATAACGCATTCATTCCGGGATGTGGGTGTTGGTGGGGGAAGGGTGTATGGGCAATGGGGTCTAAATAAGGGTACGTAAAGGTTATATGGGGTTATATACGAGTTATGTAGGGATATACGGGGGGTTAAGGTGGTGTAGGTGCGTGGGGGGTATAGGAGCCGAAATAATTACCACGAATGGAGAACCATATCAAAGTCAAATGGACATGGAATGGAAACTACTCAATACGTACACACACAAACACGCAGCAATGTATCAAATACGTACATATATGCACAAAATGTTGTCTTAGTCATGTAGTATAGAGTTTGGGAAAATTACTCTCAATCGTCAAGAACCGAATGGAGAAGTGAATGAAACAAGAAACAGAAACTGGGCTTATATTACGGCCGTAAGGCATTCCAGGGATGTATATACGCGTGTAATAAGAGCTTATAGTCGAGGAATGGGATAGAAAATGGAAGCGATGCTCTTACTTGTCTAAGGTTTAGGGGTGCAAAGGGAGCGATGACGGAGGACAATGGGGCGCTCTGGGGTTGGACCTAGGTAGGCCTACTAACAAACACCAGTGCAATCTAAACTTGAAACCACACGGGACTTACAGCCTCATAGAATATCACCTGGTTGTAACTAGGGCTTTGCTGTACCTAGGGGTGAGCAGGCTGCACAAGGGGGCCTTTTCGAAACCCCAGCCCTCCTCAGGCTGTCCTGTTACGTGGTTGCGGGGCTCGCTTCCAGAGGATCAGGGAGATCGTGAATCCAAAGTCCTAAAACTTGGTGCTGTAAGATCTACGTGGCACTTAGGACCCCTACTAAGGGTTAACCCTTAGGTGCCTATAATAGGAATATAAGGGAATCCCAAAGGGTTAAGGGTCTAAGGTCCAAGCTAAGTCCCAAGGAGAGATGTTGACCAATTCTGGCTCAGATCGGCCTGGCTACCCCGCAAAGCTGTAAACGATTCAACCATTTTGCAACTACTTCGGCATGACTATGTAAACCCTAAGCGCGGAGCTACTTGGGTCGACATCCTCGAAGCCTTAGACTTCAAGTTCTTACACGCTAGGCCTGAGATCCATCGAGCAAGGATGCGGAGACTCTGCTAAACTGCTAAACCCAAAGTTTAGGGTATAGGGCTTGGCGAGGTCTATATTGTAGGCATTTTGCCGTTGCCTAGTTGGGAACGCAGGAATGGATTCCTAGCTTGTAAAGTATCTCATTTCTATGTAACCGCAAATAAACCGAATCATGACATGGTTCCTACATCCTATGCCGTCACCCCTAACAACCATTACAAAGCCATGCTCTTCCAAACCCTGCATGCCTGTTGCACTTGTCTGGGCCGCTACTCGGCCGCGCAGCTGCACGCTGCTTCTCTCGGGGGCAGCCTCTTTTAGGAGTCATGGCTTGGCATGAATTTTACAAGGGTCGCAGATACCCTAAGCCCTAAACCTAAACTTGTGGGAAGCAGGTGCATGGCATCAGGCACAAGGGTCCCAGAGATGCCCTTTGTCCATCCCTTAGCTCAGAGGCTGTACCCCATCGCCGAGGGGTCTGCGAGCTTAACAAAAGTCAACCACAAGCGAGAGAAAACGGATCACACGAGATGTAATGAAGGTTGTCCATGACGCTACACTGACTCCATGCTCTTGATCAATAAAACCCCAGTAGGTTTGAAGAACATGATTTTGCCAAATTAGGAGTCCAAGAGCGCATTCAAGGCCGAGGCAGTTTGGGGTCCAAAAACCCTGGACTTGCAAAAAAAAATCCAGACCCTATAACATGTTAGATTTCAGGTTTGGTTTGAAATCTTTAAACGCTAAACCTTGAATTTCAAAGCCTCAAACCCTAAATAAAAAGGTGGCTGCTCTTAAAATGAGAATAGGAGTTGAGTCTGAGACCTGATTTGCTCATTCTTCGGAAGTAAAGGCTCAAACCTTGCTTCCTGAACTAGCCCTTACGGACCGTGCCCTAGAACAACAGCAATTTGCTTCAGGGCCAGTAGCTTCGCAACCTTTTTGTAAAGACCTTATTGCTAGGCTGCTCTTCAAATCAGAAAGGGAAAGGTGACTCGGAAACCGGACTTGCTTAGTAAGGTTGCTCTTAACATTTATATATACTATAGTAGTTTCCATTTTATTTTCCATTATCCCCACTATAACCCCAATATACTATAGTAGTTTCCATTTGATTTTCCATTATCCCCGAAGACTTTGAATTCTAATGAAAACCTTCTAACTGGCACTCTTGCTCTTACTTTAGCTTTTACTACTTCTGCTGGACTGCACTACTTGTACTTAGCATGATTTGTTTTCCTTCCGGATCTCTAGAAAAATGTGCTAGGACAATATTCAGGGGTGGTGGTTGGGGGGACTCCACCTACTAATCAAGAGGGCGGACTACACCTGCCTTGCGTTGGCAATTAGTTGCCACATTGTGCGAGTCAGGGCTACAGAGAGACCAGGGAAACAAGAGATCCTTCCTTGAGATGCCCTTCTATTTCAATCTCATATGTGCAGCCGGCTCCATAAACGGTGCACCAAGTTTTCTTGCAAAATGCTCTACCGCAAGGGAGGGTATCATCTCACTCGATATTCGAGACTAGAGCTTCCCCTGGTAAGCAATACCCAAACCCTAACCTCAAACCTCGAAGTCCTGAACCTAAAGCCAAAAAAATAAATCCTAAGCTCTACATACTCCTGGAACCCTGGAACTGAAAATCCAAGGTTCCAAATGGCTCGATAACTTTAGAGTCCAATGTAAGCATCATTTCCCCAGAGCCGCTTCTGCAGTTCCTTTCGAGTAGTGTAGTCTGTAGTAGAAGCAAAAAACAAAACATACACCCAAAAGCTACAACCCTAAACCCTAAACCCTGAACCCTGAACCCAGGGAGCTCTTGGGTACACACTTGCCGTTCCAGGGCTACCCGCGGATCTCCATCATAACCCCCATAAGGTTGAGGGTTAGGGTTTAGGGTTAAGGTCTAGGGTATAGGCCCTATGTCTCACCTATAAAACCCCAATGTCCATTCAACTTTCTGTTTTCTTTTCCATGTGATTCTCCACGATTGGGGCATTCTGTATACATATATATATATATACGTAAATACACATATGTATAGATGTGTGTATATATATATACATATATTCCCCTATATAGCCCTAAACCCTGAGACCCACATGATATGGGAGTTTGCGATTTCTCTTCCATCATGACCTCTGCGTGTTCTGCATCCCTACATCTCGCTACACATCCCTATAAAACCCTAAGCCTGTACCACCCCTAAATGAGCTATAGTCTAAACTCCTAGTATCACCCTTAATAACCCCTATTGTACTCCCCTATATACCCTATGTACCCCTCCCTCCCTTAACGAGTTTAGACCCTAAACCCTAAACGCTATAGTAATCCCCTATATAACCCTCCTCTACGGAGTTTAGACCCTAAACCCTAAACCCTATACGAATATAATCCCCTATATAACCCCCTTTAAACTTTAAGGAGCTTAGACTACAGTTTATGGGACTTCAGCAGCAGGTTGGGTTTGTATAGCTCATATAACCCCTAAACCCCAAACCCCAAACCCTAAACCTGTATAACCCCTGGGTGATGGAATCCCTGACTCTAAATCCCTAGTCCAGCCTGCGTGGCAGACCCGCTCTGTACGAAGGCCTACGCTTCATGGGGTTTAGGAATTTAAGTTTAGGAATTTGGGGTGTAAAGATTTGGGGGTGTATCTGCACTGGTCACATTGAGAAACGCTTGCACATTTTGCCTTTCTGAAACTGTGCTGATTCTCCCCGTTTTGCCTCAGGCCATTTTCCGACCTCACCTGCAACATCTAGATTTCAGACCAACAAACAAGGCAAACCTAAATGAGGCCAAATAGGACACCCACACCCTTAACCCCAAACCCTAAACCGTTGCAGACTTGATCTGAGATTATTCTGGCATGTCGTGATTCTCATGGCTAGGCCGGACTTGCTGCTGCTAGAACTGGTAAATATTAATTGGGGTTATATAGGGAGAATGGAAAAGAGAATGGAAACTACTATTTGGGGTTTAGTGTTTGGTATAATAACGACAAGTCCTGAAGCAAGCGCTGACACTTGCCAACATTGGAGGATCAAATGAACAGGAACACGAAAAATGGCAGTGGACACTACTTTGCCTATATGTATATATATATACACATATATATATGCTACCCCCCCC